TGACAGGTTCTGCCGCAGCCTCTGTTCTGTGGGCGACAGCAGGACCAGGTCGTCTGCAAAGAGCAGGAACTCGATTTCTGTAATTAATGCAAATCAGTAAATCAAGGGACAAAACAATTGTTGTGCCCGGCTCCTCAATGGGCTTTGACGTGCTAATGCTAATTGGTTTAACAGTCCGGGTGTGGCAAGCCTCTGATGTCTCCTGACTTCGGCAAAAAGAACCTGCCTTTCATTGGACGGGAAAGCAAGAGCCGACCGCTATGCCGCCCATCGTGTTTCGAAATCTTGTGACTTTTGAAATGTACTGGGGGTGGACCACGTCTGTAAATTTCAATGGGTCCAGAGGCAAAAGTACTTGCCTTTCAATCTCCGGGAAACCATTAGTAGCACGGTGAATCGGAGATTCTCAACCCTTCCTTCGTGCGACTGGAAAATAATTTGTGATCGGATCAACGGAATTCTCCTTAGAAGGAGGCGCTCTTTTCCTCTAGTCTAACAGTCTGTCCACAAACAAAACATTCCTGTTAGACAAGAGGAATATAAAAAAAACAATTACTTTTTGTCAATGAAAACCGGTGTGTGTGTCTCTATCTGCTGGATGTCCCTCTCACTCTCTGTTGAATGAATAAAAGCATTTTATAAAAAATGCGTTTGTGTTTGTCTGGTATTTACTTTGGTCCTTTTAACTGTTTTTCCATATATTGCATTGCTTTGAGATGCCACATTTAAAGGTGATATGTAAAATAATGTTTTTTATTATTGTTATAGAGAAACATGATCAGATTTTCCCGGGTTCAGAAAAAAAGATCTAAAGTATACTAGTTTGTCACTCTTCTCATCCCCTCTCTGCTAAATGGCTTTTGAATAGAGTCACATGAAGAGAGAGGTGAAACAGCCTTACACAGCCCTGTCGCAGTACACGAATATAATTATATCTTACTAATTTCTTTAGATACGCGATTCTTTTAATACAGTCTTTGCTGTGCTCTTGAGGGTCCTTGTGATATTCCGAGCTCTGGTTGAATGATAAGTGTTGCAGTTTAAATAATTTTCGCAGTTAGAAATTATGAAACGCTCTGTTAAAAGCAAGGGAGTTTTTATGTCCGTTGCAGTAAAAGAAAATGTCTGACAAAGTAGGGCTTGGACAGATTCCAAGTGCATTTGTGCAATTTACGTTGCATTGTCCATTGTGCTGCTGTAATACAGTTTAAAATAATTCAAAGTCTAAACTGTATCAGTTTTATTTATGGGTTGCAATTTTGAGCTTTCTGGCAAGAGGAGACACCCAAATTAATAATGTAACATGCCACTGTTTGTGCATGAACAAAGTTATACTGCTATTTCCTTAGATACGCGATTAAAAAAAATAAAAAAAATGTTTGAATCCCCGGCGGAACACATTCCATAAGAATCAGCGCTTTTATATATCGTCTTTAAAGGTGGCTTCTCAAAACGTTTTACAAGGATAAAAACAACAATAACAGCAACAACAACAATATTGTATTTCATTACACTTTGAAAACCAAGTAATAACTTAACTATATGTGCAAACGTTTTATGATATGTCGCTGTTGTGAATGTCTCTGGAGTGTATCTTATTTGCCTGTCTGTCCTGGCTCTCTCGCTCGCCCTCCCCCCCTCTCTCCCTCAA